TGAGAGGAAAAGTAAATGATTATAATTTAGATATGACATTTTATCTTATTTACCTATTTTGTCTTTTTGTGCTTTTTTAGTCCCAACCTAAACCCAACTCACTTGTCAAACATGGACTATATATAAGTATTCAAATAACACTTTTATAAAATAATAGGACTAAGATTGTCAAAGTAAATAATTAGAATCACACTTTAATTTTAAATTAATATTAATATTATTGTTTTGTAACACATACATCGTAACATAAAATATTATTTAAAAGAAATTTAACTCCTGCATCGCACAAGTCAATTACGAGTTCTTTTTATACTAACAATGATCATATATATACTAACATTAAGTCTTTCTTTCCATTCAATATGTTTTCATTTTGTCCTGCGTATTTGTAATGGAGAAGCGCATGATATTGCGCACCATGCCCTGTCAATTGATGAGAATTGAGTGTGGGAAGTTTGTTTTCCATCCTGGTGTTTACACTCTTATCAATCCGATATTGGGCTGCTAGGCCCACCGTTTTCACTTTATGAATAAAACTCTTCTTTATTTGGCACAAAAAAAAAAATAAAATAAAATAAAATAAAAATAAAAATTATTCCTTTCATCAAATGTTTAATCAAGGGAGAAATATTTTTTTTATCAAATTGAGAATTCATCTAATTTAAAAAGATAGAAGCATTGGAAATGATCCTTTTTTCTTTTTTTTCCCTATCAAATATGATGAAAACAAGAATTTGGGGGTAAGACAGTATTTTTTAAAAATAATTTGATTAACATTTAATAGAAATGTTGAAGAATTTTATATCAAATCAATTTTTTTACTCAAATTTAAATTATGAAGTTAAATTAGTTAATTTTGAGTTTTATTTTCAAACCTATTACCATCATAAGAGCTAAAACTATTTGAGGGCCCATAAAATTTGACGAAATTTGAGGGCCCAAGGCGACCCTTGCTTGCCTTGGGCCAAGACCAGCTCTGTTACTTCCGGTCACCATTTTCAACCGTCAATAATCACCTCTCATATCCACCTATTTTTACTTGTTTTTAAAATATTTATGTACTAAACATTTATTTATTTATTTATTATAACTTTAAATAAATATAAATCTACTTAATATTTTCTATGAATAAAAAATAGGGCGAATTACACTAACGGGCCCTATAGTTTAGGACTTGTGTCACTTTGGTCCCCGATTTTTTAATTGTGACATATTTGACCCTAAATTTTGAACTTTGTTCCAAATAAGAACAACTGAAGATACCATTACTTAATTTTAAGGGTAAAATTGTCAATTTGATAAAATATAAACTAATTTGACAAAAATAAATGTCAAAAAAATATTTTTAAATTTTTAAAAATTATTTATATCCATCATAGATAAAATTATATAAAATTGATAAATCTTTCAGACATCTATTTATTTATTTATTTTAACAAATTTATTTTTATTATGTGTTTGGATAATAATCATGTAATGGGTGGTTTTTAGGATTTTAATGTGCAATCAATATATTTAATTTATAAAATGTTTTTAGTTTTGAATTTTTTGATTTAATAGATTAGTTTAATAATGATATCAAAATTGTTGCCAAATTTGACTTTTGAAAAAATAGAAACTAATTTAATAAAAATAAACAACTGCCCATTATATGATCATCATCCAAACATATAATAAAAATTAATTTGGTAAAATAAATAAATAAATGTCTAAAAGATTTATCAAGTTTACATAATTTTATGTTTAGTGGATAGAAATAATTTTAAAAATGGATTTTTGGTGAAAAGCCCCTTCTATGAGGGCTTTTTTGTGTGAAGCCCACCAAATAAAATAATAGTTTCAAAAGTTCCTCAAATAAAAAAATATAATGAAAAGGCTAAAATGCCCTTCCATATAATCCAAAATCCTCACTGAACCATTTCTCGTCTTTTCTATCTTTACATTACTGGTATCGTCTCTATTCCCTTTATTTTCTCTCTTTCGAAGCCCTAAACTCTTTTGATCTCCATTTTCGATCCATCTCACAAAATCGAAATCTTGAAATCGTCCATTGAAATCCATCACCATCTTAGATTTGATGCCTATGAACTCATGTTTGAGATCAATAATTTCAGATTTGAGATAAAATGACCTCATATATGTCAAAAAAATAATAAATTAATATATTACAATAAGAAATCGAGAGATTTTTGTTTGTTTGTTCATAGACCTAAAGTAAAATTCAACTATAATTCATTTATCTAGTATGTACTATGTTTTCGCAACAGTAAAATTTTGCTCTGGTTAATGAAAAATAAAGTTTATTCTCTTATGCATAGACAAACATTCAACAACACAATAAAATTTTACTTTAAGATCCAAAGTAAATTTTACTCTGAAATACAGTAAAATTTACTATAAAACAAATCAGAAACTGCATAGACAAACATTCAACAACACAGTAAAATTTTACTCTCAATTCAGAGTAAATTTTACTCTGAAATACAGTAAAATTTTACTCTGAAATAAAGTAAAATTTTACTTGAAGATTCAGAGTAAATTTTACTCTGAAGATTCAGAGTAAATTTTACTAGAAAACAAATCAGAAACTGCATAGACAAACATTCAACAATACAGTAAAATTTTACTTTCAATTCAGAGTAAATTTTACTCTGAAATAAAGTAAAATTTTACTTGCATGTTAAGAAAACATAATAGATAACACCAGAGTAAAATTTTACTCTCATTTTATCAAACAAAAACAGAGCACATACTAGAGTAAAATTTTACTCTCATTCTGTTAAACAAAAACATAGCACAAACTAGAGTAAAATTTTACTCTCATTCTGTCAAACAAAAACAGAGCACACACCAGAGTAAAATTTTACTTTCATCATGTCAAACAAAAATAAAGCACACACCTGATTGAACTCGGCAAATCAACAAAAACAAATAAAAAATAACAACAGATTTATACAGCTTTGCAATGTAATCTCTCATTTAATTGAGAGTGTTGATCTTAGATGGCGAGATTGTGTATTGTTGACCAAGGGTGAGATCGTCTGCGGTGAGATCTTCAGACTTTGAGATCGTCTTCATGGATTTCGCAGATCATCTTCACTATGCAGATCGTCTTCAAGATCGGTGTATGCATGAGCTGAGATTGTTTAAATATATGTTATATATATATATATATATATGAGGGCAATATGGTAAAAAAAAAAACAAATTATAGAATGTTCTTATTGAGCTGGGCTTCTCTTACTCAGGTGCTTTTTGAAGAAGAATTTATTGAGTTGTTCTTTATCTTAGAAAAAGGCCCAAAAAAGGAGATTTCACCAAAAATCCCTTTTAAAAAATTCAAAAATATTTTTTTGACATTTATTTCTATCAAATTAGTTTATATTTTATCAAATTGACTATTTTTCCTTGAAATTAAGCAATGAGATCTTCAATTGTCCTTATTTGGAACAAAATTCAAAATTCAAGTTCAAATGTATCACAATTAAAAAGTCAGACACAAGTTCTAAACTATAGGGACTGTTAGTGTAATACACTCTTAAAAATAATAAATTGTAAACGTTTCACCTTAACATGCTGATTCCCTAACCCTTTTTTAAGAAAAAATATGTTGGTCTCACATGCACTATTAATTGTACCCAAACGTTGAATAGTCGGGAAAAACCTATATATGCTATATTATTAACATCCCAAATAAACACAATTCCATATGCAGAAGGAAAGTAATTTCAGTGAGCATTGCCTTTTTTATTTTTTTTTTCATTGAATAATATTCTCTGGAATAATCTCTTTATATGTCATATTATTAACATCTCAAATGAATAGAATTCTATATGGAGCAGGAAATTAATTTCTGTGAGCATTGGTCTTCTTTGAATGTAATAATTGTTTTGTGAGGATTCGTTTGTTTCGATGTATTTCGCAATTCTTATGTAAATTAATTTTGTACAAATATATATATATATATATATTATTTTATTTATGTTTTATTAGTTGGATAGAAATCAATGATGAATCATCATTTTATCTTTAAGAAGATTAATGTGCTAAAATGACAAAGCTAAGAATGAGCTTTCTAAAAATTAATTTATAAATTTTTTAATTGTAAGTTAGTTTGGAGACTGCGACATAATTTTACTTATTTTTTGTTCAATTAAACAACAAAAAATGTGTAAAATTAAAAAAAAAAAAAAAACATTTTAAATTGAAACAAAGGGAGTAGGATATAAATATGTATGATAAACATCACACGTAAACAGAAAAAACTAGTCTATTTGGTATTAATTTTGTTGGTTTTATTTTCATTCAGTTTTTGGTTTTTATTGCTTAAGTTCTCCTAATTAAAAACAGTAACGTTAGATATCATAAAAAACCTTTCATAAAAATAATCATGAAAATTTTATAACCCTTTGATTACACTTAGAAGAAAGTACCATACATTAATCAAGGTAATCCAAGAATTATAAATCTTTCATGATCATTTTCATGAAAAAAATTTCATGATCCTTAACTTTACTCAATTAAAAATGATGGAGAATTTGAAATCATTTCATTTTTCTATAAACACTCATTTTTTGAAAGAAAAACCCCCCTCTAAAATCTATTTAAATTTTATTCATAAAATAGGACCGCTCTCAAAAACTTCCAAAAAATAATTTTCAAAACCTTTTTCGACTTTTAACTTTTAGTGAATGAGATTCTCGCTACTGTAAGGTCTAGAAAGTGTAAGGCAATCTCATCCTGATTTTTAACTTTTTAGTAAATGAAATTCACGCCACTGTAGGATGTAGAAAGTATAAGAACAGTTTTCAAACCATATAGGCCTTGTGTTTTTTTAAATTATTTATTATTATGGTTTTTATCATTTTGTGTTCTAAGAGATGGGGTGAGGTTGGTGTGCTTGGAAGACTTAAATATCAATACATCATACTCCATTCTACTGCAGTCACAATGGCCTATCATTTCAATGTTTTCTAACACTAGCAAAAGAACATATCAACAATATAATAGAATGAGCAACTGTAGATTAACAACAAAACATTCCCAAACACAAAGTTACAGTGTGTTCATATTTCATAACAGAACAAAACTGGCCAACAGTCACAAACAACAGATTTTAAATATACAACAAACATAAACTCCTAACACAAACTAGGCATTACCCAGATAGGATTTGAGTGCTTGACATATAAGCTTGAAGCATCACTGATGAAGTAGGGTTCAATCCACCCATCGACCATGTTGAACACGCCCATGTCGTGCCCCCCTAAATATCTGCTCCGCTTGTCCCAATATTTTTCAACAAAGTAAATGCAGTTCCTTTTACAATTTTCAACTTCCAATGTGCAAAGAGCCATTGCAGAATTATCCGCATCAATGAACAATGAACAATCTCCCAAGTCGTCCATTTCTATCCACTCCTTGGTCTCAAAATCCAGCTTGTGAACATCAAAATGCTTTGTCTTGTGCCAATTCTTAGAATTTTCATCGCTGAAGTATCGAAACACCAATAAAAGATCACCACGGTATTCCACCAAGCTGATATTGTCCCAGAGCCTTGCATTTTCTAGTTGTGATGCAAAGTGCTTTGCTTCAAATCTACCAAACTCATCGCGCTCACAACACAAAAGGGTACCTGTCCCAAGAACAATAAACAGTTTACCATTACACCATGCAGCAGACTCAATGCGCCCAAATGGAGTCCTCACCTGAATCCAATTTTGTTCTCCTGGTCTTGCTAGAGCCAAATTACCTGACACGTTACCTATTGCAACAACCATGAATTGATCCTGAGTTGTGCCTTGAACAGGCTCATCTCTAAACACACAAGCTTTTCGAACAAAACCAGGAACCGAAGCAGAACGATTATTGCGATCATCGTGATCAAACTCACCCATAAATATGGGTTTTGGGGGTAAATCAAGACGAACACGGGTGAGTGGATTGAAAAGGTAGAAGTGTCTGTTGAATTCTAGGACCAGTAACCATCCATACTGAGACCCCCAACAGCGCCTACCACTCATGTTTGGTAGCGTTACATTGTAACGCTTATTCGTATAAATGCTGAAGAACCCTCTTGTTTCATCACTATGGTTCTCACCCAGCATCAACCATGGAAGCTGGATTCGTCGAATCAAGTACTCTTTGACTGCAACAGATCGCCATGACTGACAAACCGCAGAGAACACAATCAAGTCTTCAACGGTGTTGATTCGACTGATAATCAGTGCAATCACATCATCTGGCAGGCGTGACCAGTCTCTCAAGGGAAATCTCAGCCAGTCCATCATGTTCACCCTCCAACAACCCAGATAGCTTCTTTTATACCAGAAAAAACATTGAAATCCACAAGGAATAAGAAAATAATACTAGAACTGCAATTATAATTCCATTTAAATAGAATTAGAAGAAGAATTCAGAAATTCGATCCAAAAATCAGCTACAGGTAAAGAATCAAGTACTTACTATCAAATTCCTTTAAATTTAAAGATTTGGGAATTCAACTCAGCATTCAAGTTTACCCTTCAACAACCCAGAAATCTTTTATACCAAAGAAAGATAAAACCCACAAGGAATTACGAAATTCAAGACCAGAACTGCACTTATAACTCCATTTAAAAACAATTGGAAAAGGAATTTAGAAACTCGATCCCAACAAACACCAGCTTGAGAGAGAGAATACAGATAAAAGAATCAAGAACTTAACTATCAAATCCCTTAAAATTTCAAGATTTGAGAATTCAGCCAAGCACTCAACTTTACCCTCTAACAACCCAGGAAGCTTTGATACCACAAGGAATTGGAAATTAAAGACTAGAACTGCAATTCTAATTCAACTTTAAAGATAAATAGAATTGAGCAAGAATCTCAACAGGATTTAGAAATTTGATCCCAAGAAACAACACCAGAAGGTAAGAAAGAAAACAAAACAAAAAGTGTGTGGGTGAAAGAGACAGACTTAACATAAAGAATTAACAACTATCAAAATCTGTAAAATTTAAAGATTTGATAATTCAACTGAGTAAATAAATACCTTACAATTCTTTGCTGCAAATTGGTTAAAACGTCTCCAACACTGAGATTGTAACCTGATTAAGAGTAGTCATGGCCTTGATTGTGTAGGAATCAAAGAAAGGAACCCAGTAGAGAGAAATCAAAGAATAGAAAATCAAAGCGAAAGTGATAGAAGAAAAAAAAAACCCTAGAAGGAGAAATTGAAGAACACCCAGAAATGCTATTGGAGAGAGAGAGAGAGAGATAGAGCTGCCGCCGGAAAAGAAATGAAAGGGAGGAGTTAAAGTGGGGTTGTTCGCTAGGCTGCAAGACCTTTTCTTATGTGGACCAAACTGCAATTTTTGCTGTCGTTTTATCAATTCTATATCATATATGTTACCCTATATTAAGATGAATTACACTAGCCTCCCCTAATGTTACTGAAACGATAATTTCCTCCCTTTTGGTTCTTATGTCTCTCTCCTGCAATCTTCATTAATAACGTTAATGCAAAGTCGAGCGCTTCAATTTTTCATACACCATAAACTTTGTGTACATATTCTTCTGCAAATACATAATAATTTTCAAACACATTTGTTGATCAATATAGAACTTATAACGAAATGGTTGTTCACATATTCTTTAAATTTCCACCATAACTCTCTAGCTATCACCTAGTTGTCACTGCTATGACCCACCACGAACCTTACTACTCAAACTTCTCTCCGCAGTGAACTTTTCTTTTCCTCTCTCTCTCTATCTTTCATTATTTTTCTTCATTCGCAATCTCTCTTTTTCTCCATGTAGCTGGTTTTTCACACTTCTCGAAAGGGTTAGTTTTCTCGAGTATGATAGCCCTACAGTTCAGACTCTCGTGGTTATGAATCTAATTTCACAAGTGCAATGTGAAACAAAAAAAAACAATTGAGAGTTCAAATTCGACAAATCTGAGAAAATCCATTAATCATCCGAGATGCCAAAAATGGACTGCATTACCAGATTTCAGAGTCGCCATCTAAATATTTTTAAAAAATTTAGGAAACCCGTGACTCGTGTCAAAGGCCATTTGTTCATCATAACCGAAGTGTCTCGGTTCGAGAACTTAGGTATGAGAAGAGAATGTCATAAATTGAGCACCCCACTCACCTGATCAAAGATCGACCTCTACTAATCATGATGTGAATTTTATAGACATTATATGCTCATGTTCTGATTAATATACTTAACATTACTATGTGAAGCAAACAAGTATAGATCACCGTCACTTACTCCGGAATGCTTTGATTTCATGCATTTTTTAAAAGAGTTTTGAATATGTGCAACTTAAGAGAAAAGTTAGCTCATATGTACATTTATCAAGGTCATTCAACTTAAGCGAAATAGCCTTCATCCACAAGTATTCAAAGAGGTATTTCAAATAAGCATGTAGCCTCATGGTAGTATGCTTGACATAGCAACACAAACATACATGTAATATGCTAAAACAAAAATGTTCACCTAGTACTCCGAGGCAAGCCAAAGAAAAAGAAAGCAATTTAGAAAAAACCATGATCTTATATGCAAAATGGCTAATGTAATACATACAAAATGCAACTAATAAATTCAACTACTAATATGACATGTAAAGCAACTCAAAGCATGAGGTAGTGCACATAATCATTTAGGAAGTAGTAAACATTATGCATAATGAACCAAATTTTAATGCATGCTAAAATGAATGCGAGGCATGAGAATGATGGAAACAAAAACGTGATGCTTTGTACAACTATGGTAAGCATGTAAATAAAAGAGAGAAAGAAAGGAGAGTTGGAAAACATACAAATATTACAAATTTTCCATCGTACAAAGAGGGTCCAAATGAATGTCCTAATTAACTAATTATTACAACACTAAATGAAAGCTACTAATTATTACAATACAAGCAAAGGACGTAAAATAAATTGATCAAAAGAGAGGCGGTTAAACAAGCAGATAAGGACGAGAACATCCTCCGAAAACTCCCACTGTTTACTACTGGAAGCTACTCTATTCGCAGTCTGAAAATCACTCTGCTTCAGGCCTCAGGATCTGCCATGTTTCACTAGAAATGCACTATGGCCGTCCAAAGGAAGGGATTGGTCGGCCTTAAGAAGTGGTTGGTTGTACAGAGGCTTGGTTGGTCGACCACTGGTTCTGGAGGAGAATCTATTGCAACAGAACTGGAACAAAACAAAAATAGAGGGAATTCCCAAAGGATGTTCATCCTTCATTCTCTCTCCTATCATGAAAATTTATCAAAGAAAGAGTAAGTTTGCTTCACAACTCATCAAGCATCCTATGGATATTTAAATGATGAGTTGTGAAACAAAGAGATGGCAATTAATGGAAACAAAGCTAACTAAGGCTAAATATGAAAGATACAATCAAAGATGTGGCCAAAACCCACTGAATCTCATGGAAAATAAGAGCAAGTGAATACTCAAGCTTAGAGATAATAGGTTTAGAAGAAGCCATTCTTGAAGGAAAAGTATACATAAGAAGTTCCATCATTAAGAAGATCAAAGAGACTCATCTTCTTACTCATGGAAGATGGATTGAAACCTCCATTTCCATGCTTCAAAGGAAATAGAAAAGAGTCTCTAATGGTCTTGATGAAAGGTTTTGATAAAGAGCTCTCATGTAGCTTTAAAACAAAGACAAAACTAGACTAAGTAAAAGCAAAAAATGAAAGCTACGGAGAGATGATTGCAAGCTCATCTTCCTACTCATGGAACATAGATGAAACATCCATTTCCATGCTACAAAGAAGGAACTAGAAGAGAGTTATACAATATCTTCAAATGAGAGAGATATGAGATAAAAATCAAGCTATCTATATAAGCTTTAAACACATGTAAACAACTCATATTTAATCAATATCTAACTAAAACAGTGCTGGAAATTAGGCCTAAATATGAAGAAAAACAAGAGAGCACAGCTAAAGAACAAGCCCATGGAAGAGTAGCTAACCCTTCTACCTTTAAACAAGATTTCAAATCACATTTTAAAAGCCAAAATAATCTGAAAAAACAGTATTGAAATGAAGAATAAAAAGTTAAGTAATGAAAAGAGTTGAAAGATCAACCTTTAGAGAAGAGGAAGAACTTCTTGGTTTACAAACCACAATCTAAACACTCTAAAGTATCTGAATTTGTGTTCAAAATCTCAACTAAAAACTTCAAGTTCAATGCTTCAATGGTGTATCTATAGTGCATCTATATCACGAGGGTGGAGGAAAACTTTTGGTATTTGTCTAAGCCTTTAGGCATATGTTCTCACCCTAAACCATGAGGGAATGTGGTCTTTTTATAACGTTTCCACCGTCTTTCAACGTAAATATCTTCAAAAGTAGGCAGCTAGCCAAAGCATGTACATGAGAGTAGTTGGCTGATGCAAAACATCTACTCTCGGTAAATATGGCCAGCCAGCTAACCAAGAGGATGGTCGGCCAGCCAAAAAGATGTGGCCTGCCGGTCATTTTTGGTTATGCTGCTTTTTGAGTAGTTAGTCTAGAAAAACAGGCTATGGTCCAAATGTGGTGCAAGGTTTGGGTTTGAAGCTCAAAACTAAACTCTTTTGCTGAAGATTCAACGATTACACAGTATAATATTTTATCATCGAGTGTTCGGAAAGAAGCGCCCAAGTCTTAAGGGCGGTCAAAATGGGGTGTCTACATTCCACCATGATTTTTCAGAATGCAACTATACATGTCTATTTGGGGTAGTTACCTTTGTTGAGAAAAAGACAAGGCAAGGCTGGAAATTAGGAGGTAAGGCTGGAAGTCAAGAGTAGTTATCTCTAGATTATTTCTATGTCCTTAGGCAGTTGGGGGTGTCAACTGCCATGCCACTTGGCATGTTTTCCTTGTATTATTGGTTGTATTTTGTAACTGATTGCAAGCCTATATTAGGCATGGCCATGGAACTCAAAAATTCAATCAAGTGTTTTAAGAGTCTCCCTTGGCATTCCTTTATATTGTTTGTGCAATAATAAAGGTTGAGAATTTCCTATAAATTCGTGTTGTCTTCTCTCTTACTTGTTCTAACTTATTGTGTGAGTGTGTGTTGGAAATTGACTGAGATTAAGTATTGGAACTTAATGTCATCATATGACTAAAAATTTATACTCTGAAAATAGTGTTGTGACAATTGGTATCAGAGCCAGGTTGCTCATAAATGGTGTCTAGAATAGATGCTTTAAAAGAGAGAGTGACTCGATTGAAGAATCTAGTGGGGGCATCCGTTGATGAAAGTCGCTCGCTGACAGATAGATTAGATGTCATGGCTTCTAGAGCATTATTTCAAGGCTGCTCATGTTCTTGATGCAGAGAGGGTAACGATCACTAGCATGTACCTTTCTGGTGATGCTAAATTATGGTGGCAGACCTGAACAAAGGATGATGCTCGTTCAGTGATCGAATCATGGAAATTATTAAATAAGGAATTGAAAGAACAATTCATTGCTTACAACTCGTCTTGGGTAGCAAGAGAAACGTTGAAGCAACTGAAACACACCAGTTTTGTGCGAGATTATATAAATGAGTTCAGTTTGTTGATGCTTAACATCAAGTACATGTTAGAGGAGGACAAACTCTTTAACTTCATGTTAAGCTTGCAAAGTTGGGCACGGTTGGAATTGCGTTGATTGAGGGTTAAGGACTACGCCGCTGCAATGGCTGGTGCAGACGGGTTGCTTAATTACAAGTTGAGCAAAGATTCTGTGCTAGAAATCAGCAAATCCAAGATAAAGGGAAAAGAGAAAAGTGGGGAAAAGAAGGTTGGTTCAAGAAAGGAAATGACAAATCCAAGTACAAACAGATAAGAGAGTCTTCTTTATATTCACAGAATGATGATAGAAAGTCAAAAAATGATGCTTTATATGTGATGGACCCCATAGGGCGAAAGATTTCCCTAAGTGGGAGAAGTTGAATGCTAACGATAAAGGGGATATAGATGGTGATAGCCTAATGTGGGTAAATCCCTTGTAATTGTTAAATGCAATTCATGCGAATAAGGCCCTTTTGATCGATCTAATGTACATTCAAGTTACATTGCGAAGTGGGGATGTTTTGGCTATGATGGACACCGGAGCCACTCGTAACTTCGTTTCAAAAAAAGATGGTGCAATCCCTCAGTTTACAAGTTTCCGAAAGTCCAAGCTAAATTAAGTTCGTACTACACAATCAGTACATGGAATGGCTTCCAAAGTGCAGATTAAAATGGGTGAATAGGTTGGACAAATAAACTTGATGGTGGTGCCATTGGATGATTTTGATGTCATCTTAGGAAATAACTTATTTGTGATTGCCAAATTGGCACTGATGCCTTATCTTCGTGGGTT